AGATCTCCTCAATTCCTAAAGGACTGTTCTTGTCGCAAAAACCAGGAACAAGTTTGGGATCGAGTATCATTTCATTGTGGTGATTTGAAATCATGTATTGACCATCCAAATCCTGGATAGTTTTGTACAAATGACTAATGCAACCTCTCAAGGAACCATCCTTCATGTTTTTTAATATAAACCCAAGAGGTAGAGTTAGGAAACTGAAGAGTAAACTAACAAAATCCTCCCCCGCTTCTGCGTAACAGACCATCTTCTTAGATTTGCTGACCACAAGCTTCACAGAAATCATACCTTCTTCGTCATTCTTTGAGTCTCCGAACATTTGAGATTCAAAATGTATTGCTTGATTAATAACTGTACTGCTGTTCAGTTTTGGTTCTTGTTTAGGCTTCAACAGGGTTTCAGTCAAAGGTGTCTTTGACACCAAAGAGCTCATGAGCAAATTAAACATCTGGAAAATATAAACAGCTTAGAAACAACAGCTACAGTTTAAACAAAAATAAATATAAGTCATAGCCAGCAATTACCTCAACAGTTCCAATATTGACAGTCAACTCCTCAATAGCATCCACATCCATGACACCAAGCTTAGTAAATACAGAATTGGTTGACGCAATTGGGGGAATCACTTGTAAATCATCAGTAACTGTAAACCTGATTTCTCCTTTCACAAAGACACTTCCAACTTGAGAAGGGCGCAACGAAAGACTCGTCTCATGCATAACAATTCCATGGGAAGGACAGTTGGTCTTGTCACAACTTATGAACTTACAATAACTGTAGCACGTAAAGTAGTGTCTTGGCTCAGCATCGTCAAGTTTCAATTTTAGCAAATTGCACTGAGGATCGGCTGCATTGCGGGGATGCAACAACATGTCCTTACATATAGGAATCCAAAATTTTTGTTCATCAATATTCTCAACACTTGCATACAAGTTGTTCATGCAACCTATTACCACAGGATCTGAATGTTTACGTGCAAGCCTGATAATTGTTCCCATGGGGATTGTCATGAAACTGAAGAGAACATCAACAAAATCATTGTCAGGCTCTATGAAGATAACTTTGTTACTCCCCTTGTCCACCAATGCCTTCAACTCAATATTGTTGGTAGATTTATCGGCCATGGACTGTAAGAAAAAAAAAACTTGGATCAATATCCTCTCTCTATTCAAATCCAATTAGCAAATGACAGAAACTAAACAACAGTCAAGGAAAAATGATCCAGATTCAAACTATAATCAACAACCTTGCAAATAAATTTTAAGAAAGCAGAGGTAATATTCTAAATAATCAGGCACAATTACCGATCAAGGTAGTTCACTTACCTCTGAAATGTGAAAACTGTTTTTGCTGATAAGAGAGACTAGAAACAACTTACTTGCCAAAGAGCCAAGGACTTACTTGTGGGCTGTCAAAATAGAGAGCTTGTGGATTAAGTTTATAGGGGATGAATCTTTAAAGAAAAAAGTACATATAAAAAAAAAGCAAAGGGTAAGTGGAGAAGGACATTTTAGCTTTTTTTTTTTTTTTTTTTTGAGAAGTAGTAAAGTTCCATTGCAGACCAGGGCACAAGCCCAGATACAACAAGAAGAACACTTCCAGGAGGTTCTTGCAATACAGAGACTAAAACAAACACACCAACTAAATACAAGTATTACAAGATTGTTAAACAGCAGAATACAACATTAACCCCAGCTAACAAGGAGTGACAGATTAGGAGGACCCAAATCCTTTCAGCAAAGAGTGCTTAAAAAAGATCAAGACAGAGAACAAACTCTGAGAATTCATGGGACAGGAAACACCCCAAGAGTGGAGGGCATACCTGCACAACATCCACCAGGACATTCCAGAGAATATCACAGTATCCCCTAATCCCCTTGATCCCCAAGCACAGTAACTGTAGATCCACCGAATTCAGCAACTCCACCTCCAAAGCAGAGAGATCTACACGAGACCTACCACAAAAGCAGCAGATCTAGCAAGATCAACCAAAACCAGCCACAAAGGACATTTTAGCTTTAGCTTTTCAATTAAAGCTAAGTATTCAATGTAGGATGCATAACTAGGAAGAAATCTAGGGGCATTATTATTTACTTAGCTTTAATTGGAAAGCTAAAGTTAGGTATGCATTATTGAAAAGCCAAAGCCAGTTCCACTGTGACCTGCAGAGTGCAGCTAATGAGGTGTTGATTATAAATAATAATTATAAAAAAAAAAAGGAGATATCAAAGGCTCTAAAGGTGACATTACAAAGGCAATAACTTGTGATGTCATTAACACCTCATTAACTTGAAATTACACAAAAGAAAAAGAAAAAGAAAAGCATGAACTTGTCTGCATGAACCTCTTCTTCATGGCTGAGGGCCTGAGATCTTGTGTTGCATGCTGAATCTTTCGTGGCCCAGTGGGCCCAGGGGAGAGGGAAGTCCTTGGCTGCTACCCTTAAAAGGATTTTGTTCAAGTAGCAGCAGAAGCCACAGTGTATATCGTTTTGGAAGAGGATTTCAACCCCATATCATCCATAAAGAACTCAAAACTTTTTACGACTTCACTTCTCCTTTCTTTTTGGTTCATCCAATTAGCTTTTTGCTTTATTTAACTTTCACCAATTTTTTGTAAATCGGGTAGGCCTCCGCTAAGTTTTCTAAAAGAGACTGATGCACTTAATTGTTAATCGCGACAACTAATAAAGAAGGTCGAATTATACATGGGAAAATAATACGATCCCTAGAAGAAAAACAAGCCTGCGTGTTTATCAGACTCTACGGGCATGCGCATGCATGACAATTGTTCCCGGGTTGTCTTTATTGGTGTAGGTGGCTTGATACAAGCCATGATGTATAAGTCCCACATCAGGGAATTCAACAATAATATCGTTGGAAAATGAAGAGTTTCCAGCAGCTGTAAGAAGACGAGGAGTTTCCAGTAGTAGTTAATTATTTTACATATTCCAATAAATATACAGTGTAAATATAGGTGGTGCACTCCTAAATACACTGAGGCCTTTTGTCATAAAAGCTCACACCTAGAGGTCCATTGGACCTTATCTCTTCTAAGTGGTTAAGGTACCGACAATATCGGTGCATGGGTTGGACAGATATAGGACTCCTATGGAGTCTGTTGGTACAACAGTCATTTTACAAAGACACTTGCAACTGGATAAGCGTACACGAGCAAGGTCAGTACGTAGGTACTACCATAGTTATAACTTAAGACCCTACATGATTTGGAGCACGTAAAGTAACGTCTTGGCTCAGTATCGTCAAGTTTCAATTTGAGGGAATGCACCCATTGAGCTTTCCAAAAGAGAAGCACTCTCATTACTTTTGATTTGTCGATAAAAGGACTCTCATTACTTAACTGGGAAGAAATTTATATGGCTACTTAACTAGGAAGAAATTTATATGGCCCTACAGTAAAAGACTTACATAACAGTGATAACACTATTTTGCATAGTGATATTGACTCATCAAATCCTGCATTTTGCTTATTTTATATCAGATCAAATCAAATACAGCAAATTTAGTCATAGCTTAGTGGGTTTTGTAATATTTTTTTCCTTCACGACCATAGTTGACAACTCAACCATAGAAATCTAACAACAGTACAGGTTAGAGCCCAAAATGGCAAACCATGCCAAAAGCCTAGAAATAATAAATGACACCAGACAAGACGAGAACCCAAACAACTAAAACAAATGAAAATAAGGGGTGTATTGAATTGAGATTTTAAAAGATTATTTATGGATAAATAAGTCTAGTGGATTTTAAAAGACTATTTAGGAATGTAATGACTTATAAGATTTTTTTAAAAGATTTTTATAATCAATATTTTTAACGTTTGGATTTTAAAAGATTTATATCATAAGAATTTATAAGATTTGAAAGTACCACATGAATTTTTTACTTTTATGATGCTAACCAACCAACTTATTAGATGATGAGCAATGGCAATAGTTCAATAGTTCAACCAAGTTATTCAATAACAAAGAAATGATAATTTTAATAAGGGTTTACTACTGTTTTAAGAACAGAGTATGGTCAGAATTACTCTGCTTAAAACCATAATTCTTCATTGCCAAGGTAAAACGCCCAAACCATGCTCGGGGAGACTGTGTGCCAGCCCCTGTCACAGGAGAAGTAACTCCATTGGCATTAGCAATACTAGTTCGTCTGGGTTGACTGGTACTCAGAAAATCATCAGGATCAAATGTCATATGATCGGTTGCGCCAGAATCAATTATCCAGCCCGTTGAATTTCTATCATCCAAAGTATGGAATACATAGCCAGAGTCGCCCCTTGCAGCTTCATATCTTTTTTGATCTTTTTCATATCGTGTAGTTTCAGTCGGGGTTGTTCGGTTGGGTTGGCGGCAACACCTAGTCCAAGTGAGGCCAATCGGTCGGGTCGGTGTCTGGGTCGGGATCAGTGTCTTCAATGCTTCTAGGTAGGTAATGAGGCCAATCGGTCGGGTCGGTGTCTGGGTCGGGATCGGTGTCTTCAATGCTTCTAGGTAGGTAGGTTGAGAAGAGTTGGTGGTGCTATTTCTAGCAGGGAAAAAAACATCTTCCCCCATGGAGGTAGCAAAGATTCAGAACAAGAGTCAGCAATTCCAAGATCGCTGCTCTGATACCATGTCAAAACATAGAGAAGATTAATTGAAGGAAGTGGAGAATGTAGAGAGAATTGGAGCTGCAACTAGTTTTCTGATTTCAACAACATAACTCTTTGTATTACTTACAATACATTTATAACTACAAGCCAAGAGGTAGACAAAGCATCCCTAAGACAAGGAAACAAAGTTTCCCTAAGATAAGAAAGTAAAGTAAAGCTCCCTAAAACAAGGTTCCCTAAAACAAGGTAACCATAAAATGAGGACTAGGACTTTGTGTATGACAAGATTGAAAAGTAACCAACTAACTAATGTATTACAAGCTAACAAATTGTTCCCATGGGGATTGTCATGAAACTGAAGAGAACATCAGCAAAATCATTCTCAGGCTCTATGAAGATAACTTTGTTACTCCCCTTATCACCTTCAACTCAATATTGTTGGTAGATTTATCGGCCATGGACTGTTAAAAAAAAAATAAAAAAAAAACTTTGATCAATATCCTCTCTCTTTTCAAATCCAATTAGCAAATGACTGAAACTAAACAATAGTCGAGGAAAAATGATCCAGATTCAAAATATAATCAACTCTACCAGATGTGTAAATATAAATCAGTCTCAACATTGCAAATAAATTTTAAGAAAGCAGAGGTGATATTCTAAAAAATCAGGCACAATTAGAGATCAAGGTAGTTCACTAACCTCTGAAATGTGAAAACTGTCTTTGCTGATATGAGAGACTAGAAACAACTTACTTGGCGAAGAGCCAAGGACTTACTTGTGGGCTGTCAAAATAGAGAGCATTGCTTGTGGATTAAGTTTATAGAGGATGAATCTTTAAATAAACAATAAAAAAAACAAAGGGTAAGTGGAGGAGGACATTTTAGCTTTAGCTTTTCAATTAAAGTTAAGTATTCAATGTAGGATGCATAACTAGGAAGAAATCTAGGGGCATTATTATTTACTTAGCTTTAATTGGAAAGCTAAAGTTAGGTATGCATTATTGAAAAGCCAAAGCCAGTTCCACTGTGACCTGCAGAGTGCAGCTAATGAGGTGTTGATTATAAATAATAATTATATAAAAAAAAAAGGAGATATCAAAGGCTCTAAAGGTGACATTACAAAGGCAATAACTTGTGATGTCATTAACACCTCATTAACTTGAAATTACACAAAAGAAAAAGAAAAAGAAAAGCATGAACTTGTCTGCATGAACCTCTTCTTCATGGCTGAGGGCCTGAGATCTTGTGTTGCATGCTGAATCTTTCGTGGCCCAGTGGGCCCAGGGGAGAGGGAAGTCCTTGGCTGCTACCCTTAAAAGGATTTTGTTCAAGTAGCAGCAGAAGCCACAGTGTATATCGTTTTGGAAGAGGATTTCAACCCCATATCATCCATAAAGAACTCAAAACTTTTTACGACTTCACTTCTCCTTTCTTTTTGGTTCATCCAATTAGCTTTTTGCTTTATTTAACTTTCACCAATTTTTTGTAAATCGGGTAGGCCTCCGCTAAGTTTTCTAAAAGAGACTGATGCACTTAATTGTTAATCGCGACAACTAATAAAGAAGGTCGAATTATACATGGGAAAATAATACGATCCCTAGAAGAAAAACAAGCCTGCGTGTTTATCAGACTCTACGGGCATGCGCATGCATGACAATTGTTCCCGGGTTGTCTTTATTGGTGTAGGTGGCTTGATACAAGCCATGATGTATAAGTCCCACATCAGGGAATTCAACAATAATATCGTTGGAAAATGAAGAGTTTCCAGCAGCTGTAAGAAGACGAGGAGTTTCCAGTAGTAGTTAATTATTTTACATATTCCAATAAATATACAGTGTAAATATAGGTGGTGCACTCCTAAATACACTGAGGCCTTTTGTCATAAAAGCTCACACCTAGAGGTCCATTGGACCTTATCTCTTCTAAGTGGTTAAGGTACCGACAATATCGGTGCATGGGTTGGACAGATATAGGACTCCTATGGAGTGTTGGTACAACAGTCATTTTACAAAGACACTTGCAACTGGATAAGCGTACACGAGCAAGGTCAGTACGTAGGTACTACCATAGTTATAACTTAAGACCCTACATGATTTGGAGCACGTAAAGTAACGTCTTGGCTCAGTATCGTCAAGTTTCAATTTGAGGGAATGCACCCATTGAGCTTTCCAAAAGAGAAGCACTCTCATTACTTTTGATTTGTCGATAAAAGGACTCTCATTACTTAACTGGGAAGAAATTTATATGGCTACTTAACTAGGAAGAAATTTATATGGCCCTACAGTAAAAGACTTACATAACAGTGATAACACTATTTTGCATAGTGATATTGACTCATCAAATCCTGCATTTTGCTTATTTTATATCAGATCAAATCAAATACAGCAAATTTAGTCATAGCTTAGTGGGTTTTGTAATATTTTTTTCCTTCACGACCATAGTTGACAACTCAACCATAGAAATCTAACAACAGTACAGGTTAGAGCCCAAAATGGCAAACCATGCCAAAAGCCTAGAAATAATAAATGACACCAGACAAGACGAGAACCCAAACAACTAAAACAAATGAAAATAAGGGGTGTATTGAATTGAGATTTTAAAAGATTATTTATGGATAAATAAGTCTAGTGGATTTTAAAAGACTATTTAGGAATGTAATGACTTATAAGATTTTTTTAAAAGATTTTTATAATCAATATTTTTAACGTTTGGATTTTAAAAGATTTATATCATAAGAATTTATAAGATTTGAAAGTACCACATGAATTTTTTACTTTTATGATGCTAACCAACCAACTTATTAGATGATGAGCAATGGCAATAGTTCAATAGTTCAACCAAGTTATTCAATAACAAAGAAATGATAATTTTAATAAGGGTTTACTACTGAAATACCCCTTGAACTTGTAGCTCACTTTCAATTTGTCCCTTATCTTTTTTTTTAGAAAATTAAGAATATGAACTTTTTTTTTCACCAATTTCCCCCTTACCGTCTAAATCCTCAACATTTCATCCAATTTGCCGTTAAATATGAGGATAAATTGGTCATTTCAATGTCAAAATAAAATAAAGTAATTTAAAATTTGAAATAATAATAATAGAAATAAAGTTATAAAGCATCACCTCATCATATTACGCAACCGAGCTGTCCGGGATGTAGTTCTGTCTTTGATGCCTGAGGAATACATTGGTGAGAGCAGAGTCACAAAGAAAAGAGGTCCCCAGAAGATGAAAGGCCTGCAGCAAGTAACATTACAAGAGACGTCAACAACAAAACCACTAAGAATATGTACTTGAAGCTTCAAAACTAGAAGAAACACACACAATTAATGCATGAGCAGTCAAATTGAAGCAGTGGCAGAGAAAATTAGGCGTGTACAATGTAAGTGTAACAAAATCTTATGGACTGATCAGAAATCATCAACTATAATGAGTTGCTACAAAATTAAATTACAAACAATAACTAACCATCTCCTTCCCAACCTGCACAGTTTGCACCTCAATGTCAGAGAATGGCACCTTCAATGTCAGTTTGCTTTCAATTTTCTTTTTAACTTTTTTTAATTACCTTTTAGTTCTTTTAAACTTAAAAATAAAAGGAAGAACAATTCAACCACATGCCACGCATGGCTAGCCTTTTTATTTATTTATTTGTTTGTTATTTCTGAGGAGAGAATTCTCATGGGAACTTGGATATATTAAGATTAGGTCCGGCCTTTGTGACCCAGCTATTGGGAACGCGGTCAATCTCTTCATTAGCAAAGCCAGATCATGGCAGAACCATACACAGATCAAATACTTCATGTTGCTTGTTTATATCAGACCAAATACTGCAAATTTTTATTTTATTTTTACAACAGCTCTAAATTAATCTAATCTACCGGGAGGTGAACTCAAACTTGGGTGCAACGAGGTAGGCTCCTACCCTAGCCAACTGGTCAATCAACGCCCGCAAAAATACTGCAAATTTAGTCAAAGATTTTATGGGTTTATACTTTTTCTTCACGACCATAGTTCATGGCTGGCTAGCCTCAAGCTATTCAGAAATAAGATTGGACAATGACTATAACAAAATTTAACCAAACATAAGCTAAGACATAGATCTAGCAAAATAGTACACGTTTCTTACAGCCCAAAATGATCAAATGGCAAACCTTGTATGCAGGTCATACCATGTACACATAAAACTTAATCTCAGTTCAACAGCCTACTAGAATTCTTATGTAGTAACAACAAAGGCAACCTCTTCTTTGTATGCATAACCAATCCCTCATTGTTCTTGCTTTGGCTCCCTAAGATCCGCAACGAAGGTATTGGTCAGAACAGAGTCACAAAGAAAAGAAGCCAACAAAAGATGCAAAGCCTGGAACAGTTAACAAATTCAAGAGTCAATAACAATTTGACGAACATATAACTCATCTGGAGAGGCATCAACTAAAGTTTAAATCAGAGGACTTAACAGACACAAAGATAATTTATATGCAGCCAAGCTAAAGTCATTGAACATGCAAAATTAAAACCAATGATTCAACTGTCAAAGAACCGAGGATTTGTTTGGTAGATTGAACCAAAAAGTTATAAATAATGACTTACCTCTTTCTTACCCACATGCACAATCTGATCCTCAACGTCAGTGACAGGCACATTCAAATCTTTAAGAACATGCAGCTCAAGGATCCGAGATATGGGTCTTACAACCAGATTGTCAGTTACCACAAACATTGCGGGTCCCTTCAGAAATCCCAGAGCACTGTAATCCTTTTTCCCAATCACCTTGAATTGATTTTGTTCCGATGAGATAAGGGATCTATCAGTAGTCAACATATTATTTACAAGGTAATATGAGGTTTCCTCAATTCCTAAAAGACTGTTCTTGTAGCAAAAACCAGGAACAAGTTTGGGATCGAGTATCATTTCATTGTGGTGATTTGAAATCATGTATTGACCATCCAAATCCTGGATAGTTTTGTACAAATGACTAATGCAACCTCTCAAGGAACCATCCTTCATGTTTTTTAATATAAACCCAAGAGGTAGAGTTAGGAAACTGAAGAGTAAACTAACAAAATCCTCCCCCGCTTCTGCGTAACAGACCATCTTCTCAGATTTGCTGACCACAAGCTTCACAGAAATCTTACCTTCTTCGTCATTCGTTGAGTCTCCGAACATTTGAGATTCAAAATGTATTGCTTGATTAATAACTTTACTGCTCAGTTTTGGTTCTTGTTTAGGCTTCAACAGGGTTTCGGTCAAAGGTGTCTTTGACACCAAAGAGCTCATGAGCAAATTAATCATCTGGAAAAGATAAACAGCTCAGAACAACAGCTACAGTTTAAATAAAAATAAATATAAGACATAGCCAGCAATTACCTCAACAGTTCCAATATTGACAGTCAACTCCTCAGTAGCATCCACATCCATGACACCAAGCTTAGTAAATACAGAATTGGTTGACGCACTTGGGGGAATGACTTGTAAATCATCAGTAACTGTAAACCTGATTTCTCCTTTCACAAAGACACTTCCAACTTGAGAAGGGCGCAACCAAAGACACTTCTCATCGTCGATAACTGATGAACACGGGCAAGGACAGCAGATAGGCCAGTCAAAACTTAAGAACTTAGATGCACTGCTGCACACATAGTATTCTCTTGGCTCAGCATCGTCAAGTTCCAATTTTAGCAAATTGCACTGAGCATCGGCTGCATTGCGGGGATGCAACAACATGTCCTTACATATAGGAATCCAAAATTTTAGTTCATCAATATTCTCGACACTTGCATACAAGTTGTTCATGCAACCTATTGCCACAGGATCTGAATGTTTACGTGCAAGCCTGATAATTGTTCCCATGGGGATTGTCATGAAACTGAAGAGAACATCAGCAAAATCATTGTCAGGCTCTATGAAGATAACTTTGTTACTCCCCTTATCCACCAAGACCTTCAACTCAATATTGTTGGTAGATTTATCGGCCATGGACTGTAATAAAAATAAAAATAATAAAATAAAATAAAAACTTTGATCAATATCCTCTCTCTGTTCAAATCCAATTAGCAAATGACTGAAACTAAACAATAGTCGAGGAAAAATGATCCATATTCAAAATATAATCAACTCTACCAGATGTGTAAATATAAATCAGTCTCAACATTGCAAATAAATTTTAAGAAAGCAGAGGTAATATTCTAAATAATCAGGCACAATTACCGATCAAGGTAGTTCACTTACCTCTGAAATGTGAAAACTGTTTTTGCTGATAAGAGAGACTAGAAACAACTTACTTGCCAAAGAGCCAAGGACTTACTTGTGGGCTGTCAAAATAGAGAGCTTGTGGATTAAGTTTATAGGGGATGAATCTTTAAAGAAAAAAGTACATATAAAAAAAAAGCAAAGGGTAAGTGGAGAAGGACATTTTAGCTTTTTTTTTTTTTTTTTTTGAGAAGTAGTAAAGTTCCATTGCAGACCAGGGCACAAGCCCAGATACAACAAGAAGAACACTTCCAGGAGGTTCTTGCAATACAGAGACTAAAACAAACACACCAACTAAATACAAGTATTACAAGATTGTTAAACAGCAGAATACAACATTAACCCCAGCTAACAAGGAGTGACAGATTAGGAGGACCCAAATCCTTTCAGCAAAGAGTGCTTAAAAAAGATCAAGACAGAGAACAAACTCTGAGAATTCATGGGACAGGAAACACCCCAAGAGTGGAGGGCATACCTGCACAACATCCACCAGGACATTCCAGAGAATATCACAGTATCCCCTAATCCCCTTGATCCCCAAGCACAGTAACTGTAGATCCACCGAATTCAGCAACTCCACCTCCAAAGCAGAGAGATCTACACGAGACCTACCACAAAAGCAGCAGATCTAGCAAGATCAACCAAAACCAGCCACAAAGGACATTTTAGCTTTAGCTTTTCAATTAAAGCTAAGTATTCAATGTAGGATGCATAACTAGGAAGAAATCTAGGGGCATTATTATTTACTTAGCTTTAATTGGAAAGCTAAAGTTAGGTATGCATTATTGAAAAGCCAAAGCCAGTTCCACTGTGACCTGCAGAGTGCAGCTAATGAGGTGTTGATTATAAATAATAATTATAAAAAAAAAAAGGAGATATCAAAGGCTCTAAAGGTGACATTACAAAGGCAATAACTTGTGATGTCATTAACACCTCATTAACTTGAAATTACACAAAAGAAAAAGAAAAAGAAAAGCATGAACTTGTCTGCATGAACCTCTTCTTCATGGCTGAGGGCCTGAGATCTTGTGTTGCATGCTGAATCTTTCGTGGCCCAGTGGGCCCAGGGGAGAGGGAAGTCCTTGGCTGCTACCCTTAAAAGGATTTTGTTCAAGTAGCAGCAGAAGCCACAGTGTATATCGTTTTGGAAGAGGATTTCAACCCCATATCATCCATAAAGAACTCAAAACTTTTTACGACTTCACTTCTCCTTTCTTTTTGGTTCATCCAATTAGCTTTTTGCTTTATTTAACTTTCACCAATTTTTTGTAAATCGGGTAGGCCTCCGCTAAGTTTTCTAAAAGAGACTGATGCACTTAATTGTTAATCGCGACAACTAATAAAGAAGGTCGAATTATACATGGGAAAATAATACGATCCCTAGAAGAAAAACAAGCCTGCATGTTTATCAGACTCTACGGGCATGCCTGACAATTGTTCCCAGGTCATCTTTGTTGGTGTAGGTGGCTTGGTACAAGCCATGATGTAAGTCCCACATCTACATCAAAGAATACAACAAGAATATACAATTTAAATATAGGTGGTCCACTCCTAATTGCACTAAGACCTTTTGTGATAAAACCTCATACCTAGAGGTCCTTTGGACCTTCTCTCTCATAGGTGGTTAAAGTGGGGACAATATCGGTGCCTGAGTTACAACAGTCTTTTTACAAAGACACTTGCAACTTGATAACATGTCCTTACACATATGCAATTGTAAAGTGAATGAGGGTGTGCAGAGGTGCATCCATTTTGTTTTCCAAAAGTGAAGCACTCTCATTACTTTTTATTTGTCGGTAAAAGCACTCTCATTACTTAACTAGGAAGAAATTTATATGGCCTTACAGTAAAAAACTTACATAACAGTGATAACACTATTTTGCATATTGATATTGACTCTTCAAATACTGCATGTTGCTTCTTTTATATCAGATCAAATCAAATACACAAAATTTAGTCATAGCTTAGTGGGTTTGTAATCTTTTTGTCTTCACGACCATAGTTGACAACTCAACCAACAACAGTACAGGTTACAGCCCAAAAATGGCAAACCATGCCAAAAGCCCAGAAATAATAAAGGACACCAGAGAAGAATCCAAACAACTAAAACAAATGAAAACAATCAAAACCAAAGGAACAAAACAAAGTCCAAAGTCTACATTTAAAAAGTTAAGTACTCTGAGACCAATATGCAAAGTGTAAGCCAGAGTTCTTGTTTACTAACAACAAATGCATCATCTTGATCGTTCTTGCTTCGGCTCGCAATGATGAAGGGATTGATCAGAGGAGAGGCACAAACAAAAGAAGCCTTACGTGTTAGAAAACGTAATTCTTGCTTCCCTAATTCTTGATTTTTAAGTGTTGAATTACATATTATGATGTGGATTACAATAATGATTTTCGACTCCTTACGTGTTAGAAAACGAAATGGAAGTTAACAATCAAAATATTTATAATTTCCATTTCAAATAAGTAAATAGCTCATTAATGTCATTTGTAAGAGTAGTTACCTTTGCACCTGAGGTACTCTCCCCTTCCTCAATATTGTATTTATAATAAATAAAAATTACTTGATGTCATTTTCTTTTCATTTAAGCTTAATGTAATTTTCAATTATATGTGGCATGGAGCCATATAATTTCCATGTAAGCAAAAGATAGTATGAAGATAACTTGTAACCATATTGATAGTCTCATCAATACTGCTACTGCATGTTGCTTCTTTATATCCACTACATCAGATGGCTTGAAGCTTCAGAACTAGACAAACATATTTGCGTTTCACAAAGTTAAACATGAGCAGAAAACCAGAAAAACAAAAACAAAACAGAAAGCATCACCTCATCAGATTACGCAACCGAGCTGTCCGGGATATAGGTCTGTCTTTGATGCCTGAGGAATACATTGGTGAGAACAGAGTCACAAAAAAAAGAGGTCACCAGAAGATGAAAGGCCTGCAGCAAGTAACATTACAAGAGACATCAACAATAAAACTACTAAAAACATGTACTTGAAGCTTCAAAACTAGAAGAAACACACACAATTAATGCATGAGCAGTCAAATTGAAGCAGTGGCAGAGAAAATTAGTTTTGTACAATGTAAGTGTAACAAAATTTTATGGACTGATCAGAAATCATCAACTATAATGAGATGCTACAAAATTAAATTACAAACAATAACTAACCTCCTCCTTCCCAACCTGCACAGTTTGCACCTCAATGTCAGAGAATGGCACCTCAATTTCCGGGATTCAGCTTGCTATTGGGGATTTTCATTCTCATATTTGATTCGAGTACGTCTCAATAGGGTTTTGTCATTGTTTTGGGAATTTCCAATGTTCTTGATCGATTGCTAGTCAATTTTGGGGCTTTTATATGAGATTGCTGATTTCAAGCCACCATGAAAAAAATGTAGCTGTTAATGCTTTGGCTACCAGAAGTTATAATCTTTGTCTCCATGTCTATGATGAGGTTCCTGACTTCCTTGAAGATATTCTTTCTGCAGATGCTAGGGGCGCTGTGAGGCCACGTTCTTTTGTTTTGTAGTTTGTTTTGTTTGGGCTTTTAGCCCCCTACTTACCAAAAAAAATGAAAAGAGGGATAACAAGCCCAATCACTTGGTTAAAGTGGACTAAATACTACCTCAAACCCTAGCATCTTCCATAATGTCCATTGAAGTTCTGTTGCAATGGGGGCAAGGTGTTTGACAAGTCGTGTGAGAAAGTAGGAGAGCTGGAGTGGTTAATGGCATCAGCTCAACTATGGTGGACTATAAAATATTTATATCAGATCAAATACTGCAAATTTTGTCAAAGCTTAGGGGCTTCGAATTTTTCCTTCAATGGGTGACTGGCCTCGATGAGCTATTGTTAAATAAGATTGGACAAAGATTAGAACACAATTCAACCAAACATAAGCGAAGACATAGATCTAACAAACAGTACAAGTTCGCTACAGCCCAAAATGATCAAATGGCAAACCTTCTATAGCTTACAAGAATTCTTAAGTAGTAACAACAAAGGCGTCTTCTCTTAGTATGTATAACCAATCCATCTTTGTTCTTGCTTTGGTTTCTTAATATCCCCAAAGAAGGTATTGGTAAGAGCAGAGTCACAAAGAAAAGAAGCCAACAGAAGATGCAAAGCCTGAAACGATTAAAAATTCAAGAGTCAATAAAAATTTAAAGAATATATAGCTCATCTGGATAGACAGCCACCAAAGGACTTGAAAATTCGAACTCAATACTCATGAGGATAATCAATGTGCAGCCAATCTGAAGTGAAATTAACACAATATATATATATATATATATAGTGGAAGATGAAAAATCACTCATTCAAGATAATACCAAAATCACATAGGGGATTTGAAAAACTCTAGCAGACAAAATTTTCAGCCGCAAGTTAGGGTGCATAAATCATTGAACAGGAAAATTCAGATCCAACAATTCACTCAGTACTGTCAAAGAACCGGGCATACATTTAGTGGATTTAACCAAAAAATAATAAATAATAACTCACCTCCTTCTTGCCCACATGCACAATCTGATTCTCAATGTCAGTGACAGGCACATTCAAGTCTTTAAGAACATGCAGCTCAAAGATCCGAGACATTGGTCTTACAATCAGAGTGTCAGTTACAACAAAAGACGCAGGTCCTTTCAGAAATCCTTGAGCATTTACATCCTCAGAACCAAGCACTTTGAGCTTATTGAATTCCGATGAGCTATCAGTAATCAACTTACAGCCTTCATAGTAATATGAGGTCTCCTCAATTCCTATTAGACTGTTCTGATAACAAAAAGCAGGAACAAGTTTGGGATTGACTAGCATTTCCTTGTGATGATTTGAAATCATGTACTGCCCATCCAAATCCAGGATAGTTTTGTACAAGTGATTAATGCAACCTTTCAAGGAACAATCCTTCATGTTTTTTACTATAAACCCAAGAGGTAGAGTCAGGAAACTGTAGAGTAAATTAACAAAATCCTCCCCCACTTCTGCGTAACAGACCATCTTCTTAGATTTGCTGACCACAAGATTCAGAGAAATCTTACCTTCTTCATCATCCATTGAATCTCCAGACATTTGATATTCATTGAGTATTCCTTGGTTAAGAATTGTACTCCTCAATTTTGGTTCTTGTTCAGGATTCAAGAGGGTTTCAGTCAAAGGTGTTTTTGACACTAAGCAACTTAAAAGCAAATTACAAATCTGGAAAAGATAAACAGCTTAGAAACAACCACTATAGTTTAACCAAGAAATAAATAAGACATATAAAGAAATTACCTCAGCAGTTCCAATATTGATAGCCAACTCCTCAGTAGCATGCACATCCACGACACCAAGCTTAGTAAATAATACAGAATCGGTTGATGCACTTGGGGGGATCACTTGTAAATCATCAGCAACTATAAACCCGGTTCGTCTTTTTACAAAGACACTTGCAACTGAAAGCCTCTTCTTCTCAACCATGGTTGATGAAGAAAGGCCATATGTGGTTGATGAATACGAGCAAGGACAGTAGGTACCATAGTTATAACTTAAGAACTTACATAATTTGGAGCACATAAAGTAACTTCTTGGCTCAGCATTGTCAAGTTTCAATTTGAGGCAATTGCAAAGAAAATCAGCTGCATTGGCGGGACGCAACAACATGTCCTTAAACTTAGGAAACCTAAATTCTTGTTCATCAATATTCTCAACACTTTCATATAAGTTGTTCATGCAACCTATTACCATGGGATCTGAATGTTTACTTGCAAGCCTGATAATTGTTCCCATGGGGATTGTCATGAAACTGAAGAGAACATCAACAAAATCATTGTCAGGCTCTATGAAGATAACTTTGTTACTCCCCTTGTCCACCAATACCTTCAACTCAATATTGTTGGTAGATTTATCGGCCATGGACTGTAAGAAAAAAAAACTTGGATCAATATACTCTCTCTATTCAAATCCAATTAGCAAATGACAGAAACTAAACAATAGTCAAGGAAAAATGATCCAGATTCAAACTATAATCTGTTGAGAGTGTTTGTCCCACATTGAAATGTTAAGGGACCTAACCTGGATTTATAAGGAGTTGGCTACTCCCCCATTGCCAATTGGTTTTGGGGTGGAACCTCAACTTCCTTCATGGTATCAGAGCCAGGTTAGCCCACGTGTGAAAGCCCAACGGCTACACGTGTGTAAATATAAATCAGTCTCAACATTGCAAATAAATTATAAGAAAGCTGAGGTAATCTAAATAACCAGGCACAATTACCGATCAAGGTAGTTCACTAACCTCTGAAATGTGAAAATTGTTTTTGCTGATATAAGAGACTATAACTTACTTTCCGAAGAGCCAAGGACTTACTTGTGGGCTGTCAAAAAGAATATTATCAATTTGTTAAAAAGAAAAAAACAAGAATATTATCAATATTAAGAGAAAAGTAATGACAAGGAGAGTAAATAATGAATCCCAGATGTTGACATACTGATATCAAGCAGATTACTCATTTCAGTCCAAACTGCTCAAAATTAATGGGAAAAGAAAATCAAACCTTTTTTGGGCAGAACTGCCGAGCCAAAGTAATGGACGAAGGTAATGAAAACACAAAAAAGACTTAAAAAGAAAGAGCCAGCTGAAAGTTAAAAGTTTCTGTAGTAGAACTTGTAGAAGAAGACCATGAGTCTGGAGAGATAGTAAAGTTATTCCAAAGGTTACTCTCATTACTTTTTATGTGTCAGTAATTACTCTCGGTACTTTTTTCTTTATCAGTAAGAGCACTCTCATTACTGTTTTTGTTTTTGTTTTTTCCAAAAAAACACTCTCATTACTTAACTAGGAAGAAATTTATCGCCCTACTACAAAGAAAGACTTTCATAAAACGGGATAACATTATTTTGCTAATTGAGTTTTTCTTCCTACTCTGCCATGAATATTCCAATCTCTGGAATTGAATATTAGGTGTAAAAGGAAGGAGACACTAAAAAGCAAGAGCATGTGTTGTCTCAATTGACACCTTATCAGAGCATCTACAATGGACTCCCTAAATCACCTCATTCAAAAAATTTAGAGAGGAATTGCAAAATCAGAACTACAACCGTGCTCCCTATCCACATCTTTTAAAATCTTTTTAAATTCTCTAGAATCCTAATTGAATACACCCCCTTAAAATAGGGAGACTTCTAAGGCCCCGTTTGGGATTGCTTTTTTTCGCCAAAAACCTTCTTTACTTTAAAGTTAAGCAGTTTAAGGTGTTTGGTAAAAAGAAAATATCCCGATTATTTTAAAAGCAATGACCTTTTGACAGCAGCTTTTAAAAGTAGGCTCTGGGTTGCTTTTCAAAGCTGCTTTAAAAAAAAGCAGAGATGAACATTTAATGAAATTTTTTAATGCCCAAAATACCATCATTCATTTTAAAAAATGACACCACCTCCACTTTCACATCCAACTCCACCACTTGAACCACCACATTCACTACCTCCACAACCACCACCACCACATCCACTTCCTCCTCATCCTCCACCACCACCACCACCACCACCACCTCCTCCTTCACCTCCACCTCCACCTCCACCTCCACCTCCACCTCCACAACGACCACCACCACAACCACCACCTCCTCCAAAACCTCCAAATCCACCACCACCTCCACAACCAACATCACCACCACCACCACC